AGCCAGCACTAGAGTGAACGGGGCCCCAGGAGCCATCTAGTTCAGCCTCCATGTATGCCTGTGCAGATCCCGGCCCAAAGAGGGTCATCTAGCAATCCAGTAGGCTATTGCACAGCAAACAGTAGCTGAACTTACAAACAGAAGCCTGGCATTGCGTTGAACCTTACACTTTTGATGGCTTCTGGTGCTCACAGTGAGAGAAGTATTGCTGAGACCTCAGCTTTACATGTGAGGAGCCTAAGGCTTAGGGAGGTTAAGTCACTTGCTTGAAGTCACATAGCTAGAAAGGGTAGACAGGGCTCTAACCCAGACCATTTGATCCACAGTGCCTGGGCTGCATCTCCACTTTCTCGTTGGGACCAAAAAACTACAATCTCTGCCCTCCCAGCCCATAGAACCACCTCAATCCCAAGCCCAGTCATCCTAAATGTGGCTTTCCATGACCACATCCTAAATGTGGCTTTCCATGACAGAGCCACCATGGATCAGGGCATCAGGTCCGCCTTCCCTCCGGCTGATGGATCTTTCTTTCAATTTTTAGTTCTGTGCACTGTCTTCCCTGCTCCCTAACCCTGAGCTGACTCTGAAAATGTCTGCTCCTTCTCCTTCATCGTATGGACTCGCTCGTCACCTGTGGGTAGGTGCTCTGCTCTTAGCATCTATCTCTGTCTCTCTTCACTTACAGTGAAGATGGTAATCCTGAGTCCGCCTGCTCATTGGTGTGCTGTCTCCGTCTCCACCCATCCGCAGCACAGTGCCTGACACAGGATAGATGCCCAGTGGAAGGTTGTTGGATCAACAAAAAATGAAGGAACACCGTAGTTCTTCCTCAGGTGTCCGCCAATATCACCCCAATCTTGCCCTTGTAAAAGTGATTTTGTTAACCCTACCTACAAAATCCGGGAATTTACCTTGATCCAAGGGCCTGGTAATAAGAGCTTTGTCCATCAGGGTCTCTTACTGTGTGTTACAGACAGTCACCCATCAGCATCAGCAGGACACGGGTTCTAGCACTCCCCCTGAAAACCCAAACCCACTGGTACTTAAAAGAAACAGCATAGCATTTACATATTACCTATGCACATCATCAAATATACTTCCAACCATCTCTAGAATATCTATAATACTGAGTACATTGTAAACACTATGTAAACTGCTCTTTTACTATACTGTTTAAGGAATTCTGACAAGAAAAAAGTCCATACTTGTTCAATACAGATGCAATATTTTTCATATTTTTTCAATCTCCATTTGGTTGAATCAGTAGATGTAGAACTCCCAGGTACAGAGAGACATTTATACATATGGTATCTATATGGAATCCCATTTGTGAGAAAAATGATTTCATTACTTTGCATTCTACATATATTACATGCTATGTATATGTATAACCATATATATAAATTACCCTAAAGAAGATACTGCATGTATTCTTCTGTTATTTTCTTTTATTTAACTACATATCATTACTGTCATGCTTATATGTCCATCTCATGTTACTAGCTAAATATTTTTTATAAAAGTGAAAAGGGAAGTCCTCCTTCTTGGTGGAGAATTCAAATAGTCCAGGGATGATAGACAGAAGCTCACAAGCACCAATCCACTGTACCCATACTCGAGAGCCTGGAAGGAGTATGTGTAAAGATCAGGATGAATGAGAGCGTATACATGTCACCACCAGTCAGGAGCAGCATGGGGCAGGATGAGGGGCCAGGCTGTTGAGGCAGAGAGAAGTGTGGGATGCTGGGATGGGGCCAGATGACAGGGAGAGAAAGGCGGGTGGAGAGAAAAGTTAGAGCCCAAGGCTGCACTAGTCAGTGTGGGCAATGCAAGGAGGCAAAAAGCGCAAAGGAGAACTGGTGATGCCCTAGTGAGGCATGGAGCGTCCCCTAGGAGAGATGAGCGTCTTTGTGCAGAGAAGCACAGGGGACAACCTAGCAGGAACCTGGCCTTCTAACCAATGGGAGCACGTGCCTTTTCCAAGTGGAAAGTGTTTATCTCCATCTGGAGTCTCAAAGTTCAAAATAAACTTCCAAACAAAGGGGGCTCCACCCCTTGGTGTCTCAGTCTGTGTGCTCCTGTGAGGAGAGAACCAAGGCTCCCGGCTGCCCTGATTTCCACAGCGCAGGCTCCAAGCCCCGCCCCCAGCTTCCTCCCATGTCCTTCCCCTCTGATTGTTGTAGACATCCTCATGGGGACAGCTTTTTAAGTTTCCCCTTAACCCTTTTTTTCCTATCCTTACATAACTATGCAGGGGAAGTGAGACTGATTCCCCAGGGGAGGTTACTTGGGCCTTCCAAAGTGATCCAAGCCCAGGAGTCCCTCCTATGAGCCAAACCCATTGGCACTCAGCTGGATGCGTTATTTTTTATTAAAAAAAAAAAAAAAACTCAGCCCTAGAGTAGAATGGGTCAGTTTCTTGCAGCTGGACAATTTAGAGGTGTGTTTTTATGGCCACCATCTCGTGGAAAAGCCCAACAGAACTCCCTAAGTAGGGAATCACAGAATCATCATTCAGAGTAGGTGTGAGGCTCGGTACTACTGATGAACAAACATCAGGTCATCATTTGACATGCTTTACCCTAGATATTTTCACAGGTGCAACAATCCTAAAGGTGTGTGCTGCCATGCTACCAATTTTACAGATAAAGAACTGAAGACTTATGGAGAGGGTGAGTATGACCTTTTGCCCGAGGTCATGCAGCTAGTAAGTGATGCATGGAGCTGGGATTCAAAATTAGCCAGGCTAGGGACAGTACTGAGCCACCACAGCATTACCTAATTCATGTTTTGCTTAGCTGATTGTTGAGTGACTAGATGTATCAATGAATACGATCTTTTTGATTACATAGTATAATCTGAAAAGTTTTGAACACTGAGGCTGTGGTTGACAAATAAAAATATTCCTGAAATAGTCTTGTTGGTTTTATACGTCTCACTTATCTGAACTTTCTCCCAGAAAAAGAATACCTTTTCTCCAAATATTAGAACCTGGAAAGATACCTACAACTTGGGAACTGAATAAGGAATTCCTGAATGAATGTGTAGGAAAATTGAAGGTTAGCTTTTGGAATAACTTCAATATTCATTAATCACATTGTTTCCAAAGATACTTTAGGTGTCTGCTCTTTTTGGTGGCAATGATCTGCCCAAGAAGCAAGCCCCCAGGACACCTGCTTAAAATACTAAGCAAGGGAATCCAAAGCCTAGGTATCTCCCAGGTGTTTATTATACATACAAAAACTTTGAGAACAGTTGTGAGGAGATTAAAGTTGTTTTTTATCTCCATTAGAAAAAAACTTTAATAATCCTAATTTTAAAATCAAAAAATATGTTTCAAATCTACTGATCCTTTGATGCATCAAGATTCTTTGGTTTTTGTCGCATCTTGGGGACATGAGTCATACCAATTTTTTCCATCCTCTGTAAGTTAGGAACATTTTCATTTATCTAGCAGGTGTTCTTTCTCCAGTTTTAAGAGGATAGTTACTTTTCCTTACCCTCCCACCCCAGGCTCCATGCCGTGACTCTCACAGGAGGCTGAGGTAGGTGTGAGATCCGGTCCAGGTCAGCCTCAAGAGGCTGCTGTGTGTAATAGCACAGAGAGAATGGCCTCTCTGGCCCACTGTTTCTTTGTCCATGCGTTGAGGAGTGAGTGTTTACAGCTCTTTGCTTCCACACATGCTCTAATTACATCGTTCTAGGGACAGGGCTTGTGTATTATTCCCAGTCTTGTTTTCCAACAATGAGATGTCATGCTTCCTTGACTATGAATTAGGCTCAGAAGGTGACAAAGTTAGTAGTCATAAGAATGTAAAGAACCCCACCCTATTTTGGTCAATTGTAACCAAAAATATTCAGAAAGCAAATGTCTATCACACACACCTTTAAGACCTAATTACCTAAAAACAATAATTTGAGGGAAGAGTTAGTTGACCATAAAATTTGAGGTGGACCCAAGAGGTTAGTCATGGAGCTGCCCGCCTGCTGTTTTCCTCCGATGAGGGGTGGGTCGGGGTGGAGGTACACTCTGAGAGTTGCGTCATTGTAGAGCTGGAAAAGACATGGTTCGTTCTGTGAACACTAGTGTCAGGCCCTGTGCTGGGCATTGGGGGGGGGCAGGGGGAGAAGCGTACTGACAACACTCAGTCTTTCATGGAGTTAACGCTCTAGTGAGGAAAAGAGGTCACAAGGGGCATAAAGAGAACACGCGGGGTAGTGGAACGTAGGTTAGAAGGCGGGTGGGGGGTGGCGGGTGTCTTACCCACCGGCCCAGCCGCCGCCCTCCGCAGTCCAGGCCGATCCAGCACACACGCACTGACCAGCTCTGCTCTAGGAGGCCTGGGCTGGGACCTGTCTTCCTGCAAAGCCAACCTGTCCTTCACGGCCCCTCCCAACCACAACTTTCTCGCCTATCACTGCCTAGCACCGAGACTCGAGACCCACGGGGGGAAACAGGCGCTCAAGCAGCCCTTTGGGGTCCCAGCACCCCAGGGTCCCTTCCATCCCCCATCACCCCAGGACCCAGCCAGCAGCCCGGCGGGGCGGGGCCTCGGACCCGC